TTTGAAGACCACTCAAACATTTCATTCAGGAGTACTACACTGACTCTGAACTATTATTGTTTCATAAATCAACATACCATCTATTATCAAGGAAATGCATTAAGTGTTCTAAGTATTGGTTTGAGTTGTAGCTCAAAGGGAAGAAAATAGTTTGAAAAGACTCATTTTCTTTAAACTAGCTTTGTTTGACATTAACTACACTTCCATCCTTTAATTACTTAAAATCATGATTTGAATGGGCTTTGTATCACTATTTTCCTTAGTCTTGTTGCCAGTGACAAGCCTATAGCTTACCCACATCACCTAAGCTTGGTATTGGTACATTAATCCTTTGATATTTCTACAGTGTTTAAAATGTACTGAAAATCAGCTTCAACATTCTTGAGAGTTCCTTCGCCTGCTCCTTTGTAACTTTTCACATTCACATGACATTCACTCCATATGACTGTCCCAGCTCCTCCTTCTCTAAGTGATTTCATGGGGTCAAGCTTGTATGGCCACTGAAATCCAACACCTCTCCAAGCCTTGCTATGGTATCTGAGTATCCCTGTGGTATCTATAACTATATAGCTATATAACATCAGACATAGACTGGAAGATTTCTAAATCAATTTCTCAACCATAGCTCACTTTTACATCAAATCTGTTCAGTATCAAGTCCCATGACATTCAATTCACATGAGCAATCACATGTGCATTGTTCTTTGAAAGTGCTGGGGGAGCTGCCTTGGTCCTCAACTGAATGACAGGAGAAAAAAAGAGCCTCATCGAAGTTTTTCACAGCAGGATGTAGAAAGCACACCCTTTCTTCCTGTGTACTTTCACAACATCAAGGTAGCAAAATAAGTCTTCAGCACATCTTCCTCTCCTTGGTGAGGAGAATCCAGTCACACCACACCTCTACAATTTAATTTAACCAGAGTTTTCATGTCTTCTTATTGTGACCTATTTGGAAATGTGTTTACACAGAACTGTCAGTTACTATATAATAAAATATCCATCTCCTAAGTAGCAAGGGCAATACTATACGAACTACATTAAGCTTATCTGCAGTACAGACAGCTTGTCATGATTTACAGCTTCCATCAGAGTCACTCAGGAAGACTGCAGCTGGTCTGTGCTCCAACCACCAACACGGTCACTTTCTTCCTGTGCAATTTTTCAAGTTAAAATTAGCTAAAGTGTTCTTATGACTTCGAGATTCTGTCAAGATCTGATCCACCATTCTCAACCAAGATCTTGAACTCTCCAACTCCATTCAACACCAGTTCAAAAGAGCCCAAAACTGAGTGGTCTGTAGGAGACCTTCTAACGCTCAACAATCACCTCATAGAAAGTTTTCATTATGTGGATACTTCTCAGACAGTAATCCTTAATGGCCATCAAATTAATGCCAAATATAAAATAGGAAGTTTATTCTTCCAAACATGAAGTATAAATTTCCTCAAAATATACTGATTTGACACGATTAATACAAAGTTTGAAAAAAGCACCACAGAGGTTTTCACCAAACATTTTACAAAAACACAGCTGTAACTGAAGGAACACCATCTACCATCACCGTGCAGTAGAACATATTTTTCTAATAACAGTTTGGTAGAAATCCAATTTTTACACTGGAGATGCAATATATATTTTGTTTCTCTTTTGAAAGATGATTTAGAGAGTAAATGTGCAATGCAAGCACTTTAAATTCAATGTTTGGTTAGCTTACTTGTAGGTCTAACCAACTCCATGTACTTCCAAAATTGAAAAACTATCTAAAAGATGTCATTTATTCATTTTTTCCTCAAGAAAATTACTCTGCTAAGTCACCTAGGTCCATTTATTTTTTTAAAATGTACAATACAAAGAAAACTTCATAAAATCAACATGGAAATCAATGCACTGAAAATGTTTTCCCTGCAAATATTCTAGTTAAAGAGATTTTCGAAAGCTGTCATATGGTTGCATAATTATAAAACCTAAGTGGCATAAAAATTAAATTATAACTCCCAGAAACTAAGAACACAAAGCACCAGTCAACTTTCTCAAAGGATAATTATGAAAATTAAAAAAAATAATGGAGATCTCATTATGTAACTCCTTACCACTGATTGTTATTTTTTCTATCATCTTATGAAAATACTTGTAACAGACACATCATTACACAAAAAGCATTAGCATAGATGGACCAATAGTCTCTTTCAATATTGCAGTTCCCAGACTCTAACGCACAGCTGTACCAAACTATTTTCCTTTCCTTAATAATTGTTTCTGAAACGCATATATAAAAAGAAGGCAAAGACTCATACCCTTTAATGCAGTAGTCTTCTCTTTTTCATCTGGGCCTCCTTGCGGGAGCTGAGCCATCATTACCCAAACTGTCAACAGATTTAAAATACTGAGGTAAATGTACATTAATCTTTGAAGGACAATCTGAAAACCAAGAAAAATTGAAAATTAACAAACTTACTGACTTCAACAGATCGCATTTGCCACTGCTTATGTCACAAAACCCAGAACTTATTCCAAAAGCAAAACATCCATGAGTATTATAAACCACTATGGTATGTAAGGGAAAATGAAAATTTACTTTTTCCTCTCCTTCAAAACTTATACTGGACACTCTAAAGTCTCATCACAGTGTCGTGCATTAAGATGTTTTACCACGAAGTGTGACTCACACTCCAATATCATGTTTGGTCACAGATTCAAGTTCACAAGAATGAACACTAACTTCTCCCTAATCCTAAAAGGGCATCTATCTAACTGATACTTCTTTTTGTGATTCTGACGTAACATCAGTAAATGATGAGCCTTTTGGAGAACCACCACACTTGTAAATCCAAAGTAGAAGATACAAGAGAAACCAACATAATCAACATAACTCAGGGCCATGAAGGTGATGAGGGGACAGGAGCATCTCTCTTAGGAGGAAAGGCTGAGATACCTGGGGCTTTTTTAACCTGGAGAAGAGAAGACTGAGAGGGGACCTAATCAACGCTTATAAATATCTCAAGGGTGGGTGTCAAGGGGATGGGGCCAGGCTCTTTTCAGTGGTGCCCAGTGACAGGACAAGAGGCAACGGGCACAAACTGGAGCACAGGAAGTTCCACCTCAACGTGAAGAAAAACTTCTTTACATTAAGGGTGACAGATCACTGGAACAGGCTGCCCAGGGAGGTGGTAGCGTCTCCTCTTGAGACATTCAAAATCCACCTCGATGCAGTCCTGTGTGACCTGCTGTAGGTGAACCCGCTTTAGCAGGGGGTATTTGGACTAGATGACCTCCAGAGGGCCCTTCCAAACCCAACCATTCTGTGATTCCACAACCTTTAAGGGTCTTCTTCATCAATTAACTCCACTTTATTGCTCTTACTGTATCATACAGTTTTGTTTCAGTAAAACTACACAGAGCACACACTTTTAGACCACTGTGATTTCTACAATACATTATCGGCATTGAAACATATAGAGTAAACGTCCAGCTACAGAATGAACCACAGTATATTAAAGGTGAGAATTTACATGCAAGATATATTTCTAAATTTCTCCTATTGCACTGAAGGCAACCAGACATTTAGATCTGCAATCTCTTTAATCTTGAATCTGACACCAAGGGAGCAAACTACCACATCACAATCACCGCTTCTTCCTTCTCAACAAAAAGACTACTGTGCATTGAATTCTTTTTCCCTTCATCTTTTTTGGTTCTTTGTTTTATCTGTCAGTCATTACCAATTTGTTTTATTCTTCTCCCCAAAATACTTTACCACAGATGAGTTTGCATGAACTGCATCTCTGCAGCAATTTGTAACGTTCAAATAAAGAGTAACAGGATTCACTAACTGTACTACTGGTTCCCTAATACTTATGCCTGTAAGAAAGAACCCCAAAATGGTTTCTTTCAAGTAAGCGGAAAGGCAGCAAGGAAAAAAAAAAAGAAAAAAAAAAAAGAAAAAAAGAAGAAGCATAATAAAGACTATTTTTCTATTGTTTTCAGAGAAAACCTATTATTAAATGAAACACTTTCTTGTAGGTTAAGGAAAAATACAGCAATTTAAGGCGGTGATAGTTCTTAACTAAGGAGAGGGTTGGGGGGGAGGGTTTATCGTTTGTTTAAGTTGGTGTTCAAGAAAGCCCAATAATCCATTCCACAAGTTGGTCCTATGGGAGACTTTGACACCTTCCTTTGCCAGATTAAGCTGATGGGAAATGACAGTACACTGCCAAAAGACTTTTAAAGACACAACTTCACCAGGAAAGCTCTGCTTAGATTGTGAACTTTTTAAATTATGACACGACTCAACATGATTCAGTTAAAATGTGCATCTTTTGGCTAACACTTTAATCACGTAAACACTCATAACAAAAGTAATCAACAAACATGACAGCAAAACCACAGAGACTTTTTTTGTATTTTCTAGCATGTAACGTAGTCAATGTAAATACTAACATGGCTCAAATGTCAGCTCACACATGTGGAGGGTATTACAGAATTTTCTCAGATGCTTCCACTGACAAAATACAACCAAATACAAACCCCCATCATTCATCAGTTCATACATCTGCAGCACAAAACTACATACATTGTAGTAAATCATTTAGAAAAGAAACTAACCCATTCCAGTTAAAGTTATTAGAAGTGCTAGAAAAATGTCAGTATTTTGTGATAGCCCGGATGAACATTATTCTGGTCATACAAATTGGGTAGTCCTCCTTGCACAACATTTGAAAATTCATAATTGGGTATAGGTAAGTTAATGAAGTTACAAAGTACATACAGCTGCTCAAAGACTTCTTATTATCCAAGGAAAGAAATGTAAAATCTATCTGAACAGATTTACCTTGGTAAACTAACTCCCATAATCATATCAGATAAATCAATGCAGAAACCAAGAATCCCTGGCATTCTTGTCTCTACAATGGATACCCTTCTTCTTCCTTTAACAGATGATGACCCTGCCACTGAGGAAAGAGTAGAAAACTTAACAGGTTCACTTGCCAAGGCAGAAGCACCAAAATACATAAACAAACAAATACATCTGAATTTAGCTTTGAGAGACATAACTTCCAGTTCTGACAACGTAAAAAACTGTTACAGCAGCCACTGGAGGGAGGACTTGATATTAGAATGAGGATGAATGAAGCACACAGTATTTTATGCATTGTTTGTGTGAACACAGCATTTTGTTGAATCCCTCACTGATGCTTGTTTAAACGACAAATAGGAGAAATTAGATGAGAGGGTTGGATTTTCTTTCTTTGACAGGCAGGTGTTGAATCAACTATAGTCGGATGGTGCAGAAATGAACGGTGGGAAAATTATAAAGCTGTCTGAATGGTTGCTTATAGGCAAATGCAGGAATTGCAGTTTATTCTAGGCACCAGTTTCAAGCCCAAATGACCTTCAGCTGCATACACTGACCATGCCACAGCATTCACAAATACGATCATCAAGTTTCTCGTAATACATACAGATTATTTTAAATGTGTTATTCTGTACAATTACTCAGATAAGTCTTTTAAAAACATCTTTTCTGCGATTGTTTTTTATATTAGCTACAGCAAACATACTTCCTAACAAACAAGTTACTATTTCACCTAAAGAAATCCACAGTAAATAAATTTATTGCCAAGAGAATGTGCATTTATTTGTACGCATCTTGTTTCCCCATGCAAACTTAAGTATTCTATCACAAAATATCATATGAACATTCTGTGCCTCTTCAACTTAATGCCCAGCAATACTTAAAATAATTTGACAGCAAGGATATTCGGGTTTCACATGAGACAAGGAGGCTGCATTTTCATCAAACCCCTATTAATGCAACTACAAAACTGGTGGATTCACAAACAAATGGTCATTAAATTAAAAAAAACCCCAACACTAACCGCAAAAAAAGCCAAAATCCAAAACTAACCAAACCCAACAGACTTCTGCACACTTAAGGGAACGTACATACATATTTCATGTTCTTGTCTGTAAAATGGTACTGGAAGTTTTGACCACTGAGCTTGTGATTGTGTAACACAGTGTTAGTCTTCAAATAAAACTAGACACCGTATCACATAGTCCAACTCTGAAACAAATGCGCACTTACACAGTTTTCTACAAACTTCAATTATTATTCACCTTGTACATGCAGCTAGAAACGTGGCAAAAAAATGTAGTATACGATCTGGCCTACATTAGCAACATCTGAAATTAAGTCAATGCTACAAATGTTCCAAATAAAGGCTACTGTAGTGCTAACACTCCACAAGTGCAACATAAGAAGAAAACACACAGGTATTTTCAAACAGCACAAGTCCATCAAGTTTATCTGAACAGCAGTCATCAGAATGCTTCTTCGTATTGCAGTGCTTTATTAGAACACAGCTGAATTAGTCTTGCTCTCTGTAAACTGACATCCCAAGCAAGCCAGGGACAAGTATGGGTTAGATTTGTGCACCGTGGCTGATAACTAAGTAAGACCCAGTTTTTCTTCAAAGAGATGGCTGGGTGACAGTTTGGCTCTATCCCTTCTCTGTATTGGCTCAACAAAGCAAAAAAGACATACTTTTCATCTTTGTAGTATTTTCTGTCTAATTCGATTTTCTCTATTCCTGCTTTTAGGGCACTACAGGTGACATCAATACCAACTGCATCAATTAAGGTTGTACTTCACTTTCCTTCACTTGCAAGACCCTATTTTCAACTGCTTATAGGTTTGCCAAACTTCAGCTCTGAAAGCAATGTATTTCCACTCTGCTTTGGACTAAACAGTTTCAAGAAAGTTCAGCTAAAATGTCTACCCCTTGTATAAGAAGAAGGTTCAGAGACAGTACCTTCCGCTCAGTTCTGCTAATGTTAATGAGCAGCTACAGCATCTCCATGTTGCAGGGATCAGAAATTTAGCCAGAGGATCAGCTTAGCAGTGTGTGCCTTTTGCCATTACCCTTAAATCCTGCCCAGATCTGCTCAAGTTAAAATTGCTTTTTGCACACATTTAATATAGACTTATTAAGACTTATCAGAATTTCCAGAAAATTTACCTATTTGCCTAGAGCACGCTCCGTACAGCTGCAAAAAGCCAGAGTGAAGATGCACAGGAGGGGAGTAATAAATGCTAGAAGAGCAGGATCTTTAACCACTGGAATACAAAGAAACTGGCAAGGATCCCAAGTCCCTGAATCTCAGCATATCTTCACATTCTACCAAATGGTGGTGGAACTTGCTGATAAAGTACGTGACTGCAGCCGACACCAAAGGCTGATCTATTTGCACAGCAGCTACCTTCCAGTGTTATTTACCCCGTAAGCTCAAAAAGCAGAGGACTATGAGCTATATGCATTAGCGTCCCAACCGTGTCAGCAACTCAGTTGTTTACACAAGGCAGAGTCAACACGATTCCACACACTGAAATTTTAATTATTTCAGTTTAACTTCCT